AATGTAATTCTCTGTGTGAAAGCAGAAGCGACCAGCTTTGCGTGGCAGAAAACGATATTAGAACATGGGTGGGGTTATGCGTTAGACATCGGTGGCATAGTGCAAGTTACTGAGGTTCAATTCAGTGTGATTGTGTGGTTGAAATATTCCTAAGAATGGATTAGAACGTATTTAACCTTTCTATTCCGCAATAAAAGTCGCTGAAACTCTTTTGCGATCACGTTTGAAAAACAAAAATGGGCAGTAGTCGCTAAACAACCCACGATACAATAGGTTGGCATCCCAATTTCCTGGCAGGCAGGTTACCCAGGTGCCCGAAACTCGCCTATACCCACATTCAGCTTAGGAAGTGGAGAAAGTAAGCCGTAAACTTGTCGGTTGCGAAAGATAATTAAAGGGTTTGAGGAACTTCCTGGGACTTGGTGGTTAGACCTCCGAACCCAATTTTTCTTCTACCAGATAGGTCGATAGTCTTCAGCTAAAGAGTTCCTGACACAATTGGATGGGGCGGCCACCAGCTAATTTTCCTAAAAGTCTCCGTTTCGAAGTTGACTGTCCGCAAATGCCAGCAGTTGGAGTCTTTATGAAAACCGAATTTGAAAAGCATGGACCAGATTTTCAAAATAAATACCCATCTAGGTTGCTACCGGGTAACTGATCAAAAGACGGTAGAAGAGCTTATTCTTCGCATGGCTGATAAGAACGTATCCATGTTCATTATGCCCACTGTCCCCGATCCAGGTGCATCACTCGTAAGCTTGTACGACATACTAAAGCAACTTGAAATAAATTGGGGGGCAAAGGTAACCAGAAATTTGAACCTATGAACCAAAGTTTCAACTGGTACATAGTAAGAATCAAGAGGTACGATAAATATCCACGAGTAAATCTGTACACATGAGGGGTCATTCACAGACCTATTGACTCAGGAATCCAAAAAGCAACTATGTCACTCAGCACAATTATTTAATAGTTCAGAGACCAACTACACCTACTTGTGCGTAGCTAACTTACCTGCTTATGGACCCCAGCGAAACGCCCATCAAGCAAGACAGATAGTGTTATACCAGCACAACAGACAAATAGCTGAATGATTGAGCCTAGTAAAACTGGCTTACTTAAGTCGGGATGACGTTTAGGATTTTAATTCTTGGTTAAACTTTAACAATTTACGGAATTCTTCTGAGAGTACTGGAATAGTGTGCGTTCTGTCGGCAGGTTTCTTAAGTTATCCCTTCTCAGATAGTAGTTAATTCCCCCTCGAAACAGCTGACCGTTATCTTAATAACATACTGGAGTATGAATACAAACTGCTTCTGGACGCGCAAGGTGGGGTTATATTTGCGAATGGTTAGCGCTTCTAAAAACCTATGGAATGTTGTAAGGGCTGTTTTATTATCGAACCTGTGACCTTCATCAATACGTTTTGACGACGGTCATCCATCATCTCCATATGTGCACATAAACAAGAGTCAAGTTTCCTGATCTACTCAGCCGCAAAGGTTATGCTTAAAGTAGCGGATGACTCAGGTCATGGTTACCACCTTGGTAACTCAGTTTTAAAGGCCTCCAGGTTGCCAGTTGCCTGGGATAGCTGTATTATCTGTGAAGAGGATAAGAAACCTATTTACAACGCTTCATCTGACTCTTCTAAGTCACTTCACAGGTTCGGCCATGACACTTTGTGGGTGCACACGGAGAGTGATAGTTAGCTGTGGGAATACCTCGATAAGTGGCTTCAAGCAGCTGCAGTTGGCTCATTGTCTAACCAGTTCCCTATAACTAGTGGGGCAGCTCAGCGATACGGTCCCCGTCTAATCTTGCCTTTCGCTGTTATAAATAGATTACTTGTAACACCGAACTCTCAGTCATTCTTGTGTGGAAATAAACTTCAGGTTTGAAAGACAGTACAAAGACTAACATATGCTGTTATCATTCAGGAGAACCTGACCAAAACCTACAGTTGGCCGACTAAGAACATACCTTCGCTCAGGATGAAAAGTGTAGGGTTGTGTTGGTAGGTGGGCATATCTCTGCATCTATCTTCTTGGGCATGACAAATATCTCTAAATCAGTCATTAGAAAGCATCATGCAGATAATTTAAATAACAAGAATAGAGCACCCGCTAACTACCATCTTGGAGAGGTAAATGGGTATGGGATCTTAAGTTTTACTGTCTCATGCGGAGAAAGTAAGTACCAGCGTGGGGCAGGTGCAGAGAAGTGCTGCGACGAGTGCTCAAGCCAGGTTGAAGTTTCGAACAGAATCGGTGATTCATCTGGATAACTGTGCTGTTTTACTGTGTTTAGTATTATAAAAGGGGCTAAAATGAAAGTCCACTTTTCAATGATTTTTAGTGAACCAGATAACACTTGTCCAGAGATTCTCATTTGCACCACCTTAAGTTCTACTTTTAAGAAATTTAGCAAGCAACAACTCAGAGGGTTACGAAACTATCTAGGCACCAAGTTGCCACCATAAGGAAGCCTTTTCTAGACGTAACTGTGGCCCCTTTAGCTTCGCGAGTAAGAAACAGATAACATTCAACGAAACTTGTGGCTCTTTTTTAACTCAGCAAATCAGGCATTAAAAGCACTTGTGTCTCAAAAAAGATATAAAACATTATTCTCAGGATTTTTGGTTCTTCTGAAACTGCGGAGCAAGGTCTTCGGGAAATCGCTAGATGGTAGCGATTGGGCTATGTATTGCTTAACTTGCGACGGAAACCCTCCCAAAGCACTGTGTTACTCCCTTTCCAGAGGGGAATGCAGAAAATGAGGACATAAAGCAGTTGGAGACTGAATTACTATTACGTGACGCTTAACCAGCCCCACTTAACTGGGCGTGCTCTGGTTCCTGCTTAATCAGCATCTCACATAACGTGTGAGTACTAATAACGAAACACAAGCCAAAGGGCTTCTTCTGGAATAAGCTCGGAAGGGCAATGTATGTAGACGGAATAAAGATGAAGGGAATTCAGGGGAAGAAGAAGTTCATCCAACTTATCTGGCCACTATGAGCGAGCTAGGGCCTCCGAGGATGTACGCGTAAACGTGCACAAAGGGGACGCAAGATGGCTTGGAGTCCCACTCGAAAGCATACTCGTGAAAACAACGCTTAAAACACCTCAAGCATCGGAAAGTGAGCTACGGGTGTATACAGTTAATATTTAGTGAATCCAAACTAATCCATTTATTTCGCCCACTACACGGTGAGGCTTAAGCCGACCACACCTTCGTCAGAAGTTATAATCTGCTTTTCTACATTTGGACTGGGCTTAAATGAGTGTCGATATTCCCCACTGGAATTGAAGACTCATTGCTGTTATCGTATTTGACAGGCAGCTGTCTGGCATTTTATGCAATTTTTTCAGATGAAGCCGTCGTCATTTGGCACGATGTTAGTTTGTATGTCTCTGTGAGCAAATTCAGACAGCGGAAAGGATGGCAGAAAATAGGTGAAATACTTGTTCAGAGAGACTACATCTTTACTTCAAGCTATTTTCATTCACAGAATTACCCTCCATAAAACTGTTGATGATCATGGCTTTTTTCCGACTAGGTGCGAGTAGTCTGACATGGAGATCTAATACAGGGAATCTCCCACCCTGTGGTTGGTAGTGGTTTATTTAGGTCGGCCGTTTCACCTAGGTTTGGTTTTTGATCCTCTAGATTTAGGTTTGAAATGTAACGACATGAAGTTTTGTTTCCGTAACTGTCATCGATGAAAACTCCACTTTCCTCACTAGCCATAAGCAGTTTCCTTATATATATAGACGTTCTCCAATTCACTGAAGTCGCAGAATCTTCATTTTCACGACACAGTGGTTCTAGTGATACAAAATTCCCGAACGTGCTGGGGATCAACAGCAGTCACTTGACAACTAGTTTCGATGATTCACATCTGCAGAAGTTCCACCACAAACATCCCATTTCAAAATACTGAGCTTGTAGATGGTTCTGGCCATATCGCCAGATCGGAAAAGGATTAGTGTCGCTGGCTCTAAGATAGTCTTTGTTGAGCACCAAGCAGTCACGCAGCCATTCATTTGACGAATAATTTAGCATGTCAGTAGACAGCATAGAAAGCAGCAGTCTGATTTCTGGTTTAATGCAAACTTCAGCCTAATGAAAGACAATAAAAGTTATTTGAACGTTCCGATTTCATCGCATGTCGTGGAAATTAGATAGTGTCAGACTGGGAATGCTCACTAAGCTGAACTGGTTACTATTAAGATATGCTCCAACAGACAAGTTAGTTGTCCGTGTGACCACTTTAAGTGCTCGAGAAGACGATGACGCTTAAAATAGCTGTCGTGCCGATATCATATGTACTTGGGTGCACACAGCAAAATTAAGTTGCTAAATGTAACTAGGCTAGCAGTCAGTTTTGTAGATAACTGAAGTGTGACTTACTAGTTTTGAAGGGTTCATCATGATTCCATAAATTCTGGGGATATTCTGGGAGGACTTCGGTCGAGCGATTACATATTTTGAAAAACCACGTGTTGCAGAAGTCGCAGATAATGTCATAGACTTAAAAATCCAAACTAACCTGCCATAAAGATAACTAACTGATCAAGTATTTCCTCCTTTAACCATAGTGACAGAATTTTAAGGCCACCTGTGTTGAGCATTCTGTACGTCTAAATGTAGTTATGAAGGAAGAAACAAATTTATTCACAGAACAAGCTTCTAATTTTACATTTTCAGTAAACCACACCTACTTGAAAAAAGTCGAGCCCAAACGTAATCTTTATTACATGTATAAGACCAGAGAACGAAAATTTATTGATAATCCAGAGGAAATAACTTCAGAAAGTGTTAACGGAATCGAATCTCACTGTCCGTGACGCTAGTTACCCGACTGATGACCTTGAGTAGTTATTTTAGCGCTCAATACTAGTTTTGGCGTGTTAACACGCTTGTTTTCGATGCTTATAAGTCATCTGCTAATAGCCTGATTAATAAATCAACAAATCACATAAAGAAACTTTGTGATGAATAAGGGACCGATTAATGGTGTGCAAATAGTGGATAGCGAGTGGCCAGCATTGAGTGAACTGAAGCTAAAGTCAATCAGTTGTAAGCGAGTAAGATACCAAGATATTTTTTTATATTCTCGCATAGTTTGTAACCAGACATAAGCCCAAGCAAAAATGGGAAGATCTCCCTATTCAGCTGACATTCTCTCGAGCCCACCACAGTTCGGTGCCGTCACGTAACCCTCTTCCTGCCGACGAAGACGATGCTGAAATCGAAGACGACGCTAAAAATAAAAGCGCAGACAAAATTCCAAAATGTGCCAAACCTACACCAAAAGGAGGATTAGGTGAGATCCCTCAGGCTCAGAAAAACTATCCTGATCCTCAATGGTGCCTATACGTCAATCCTAATTTTGGTGGTATGGAAATGTGCAATATAGTACCTAGGCCAGGATTCAGTAAGTTTCAATAAGTTGTGGCTTATTTCAGATCCTCATATCGTCTCGCACTATCGTCACCACAACTCTCAAAGCCAGTCATGCAGTAATGGTGCTAGTGAGTGCACAGCTTGTGTATCGGAAAGACTCTCGAGGATAAGAAATCAGATTGAGTACTATTTCGGTGATCGGAACTTTACTCGTGATCGCTATCTTCAGGAAAAAATGACTGATGATGGATATGTGCCACTGAAAGTTATCATTGAGTTCCCTAGGATGAAGCAATTAGAAGCATCTGCTAACACAATAATCCAGGTAGTGTTCACTAGCATATTTTATTATTAGTCAGGCATGTTGTAATAGCAGTGTAGTAGAAATTGATGCTTCAAGAGGTCTTATCAGACGCCGGGTGCCTTTTGAAATGAACGGAGTCTCTCGTGGTAAGATGCCTTACGATTTCAAAGATATTTACTACTTTAGACAGTATGGCGCCACTCACAGGGTCTGTTGTACACTCTGTTTCTGTTAGCAGTTCAAATTCTCCAGTGCTTATGTTAGATACACAGCCTTTGGATGATAGTAATTCGAAAGAAATAGTGTATCCTACACCCGTGGATGCAGAAGAGAAAAATGATATAAACTGGCTCAAAGTAGAACGCCGCCAAAGGAGTCGTGTAAAAACATTATCTTCATCTCAGATAAATGCACCCGTGAGTTTTTATTGTTTCTTATTATTGCTGGATCCTCTTAATCTGGTCTAAGTAGGGATTATAAAGGTAACAGTATTTTGCAGGACTAACTCGGATTTTTCTGTATTCTGTTTTAAGTTGTCGTCCAAATTGTTCGCCAGGTGGTACAACAGGTGTTGGCACCTTTACATTGAAAGCCATATAATTACCTGAAAGGTCGTTTAATGAGTTGATGTATCAGTTCACATGTTTCTGTTGACCCAGAAACCACCTGGTTGGTTTCATCATGCTACCCTCCTGTTCCTAGTTTCGGAATACTAAGTCTACTAGGTGGTTAGTTATCGAAAAATTCATCTACGAAGCAACTCATTCTGGTACATGCTCATTTATCAGGCTGTAAACCATGTGTGTATGATGGCTTATAACACTACCTTGCTGCCTAAATTAGAGTCAAAGCAAGTGTGAACTTGGAACCCATTGGTCTAAAATCGAGTGTTTAGACAAACTAGCCACTTTACCGTTCTTAACTAGTGAATCATGGTTCCCTCAACAAGCAAAAGAAACCCGTAGTCTTACTCATTACGAGAACAATTTGGTGTCGATATGGTAAATGTCGCAATAGTATTTACCACCTGGCGCTTCGAGGACAAGTCATTGCTCTTATTCATGTTTGAGTGGTTAGATAAATGCCAAACTTTTTTCGTAGTTCAGTAGCTCCCCATTTTATCCCGACATTCATCCAATATATACCGTATCACATCAAGCCAATCCTAAATCACACTACCGAAGTTTCACGCATGCAATAATGTTACAATCACTACTTGTTTATTACTTACATGAATTCAGGACAACAGAAATGCATCATACGTGATATGAAAACCCGAAGGTAAAAAAGAGGGCTAGGACACATAGGTTAGAATGGTTTTAATGTACTACTTTCCGCGTAATGGTTACATTAAACTTATATGATTGTCACTGGCTCCAACTGTGAGTTATACCTAATATTCTTCCAAGTCAGTCGCGTGATCTCCTGAACCTCACTCAAACAGTCTGAAGTGACCAACAGATAATAATCCAAATAAATTGTCCTTCATCCAGCAACCCCACGTATGCACTGACCACCGCTTCCAGTTCTAACTTCCGGTCAGTTAACAGTGAACTATATAAAAATCTCCAAGAAGGCGTTTTTTATACATGTCTAAACACACTTCAATGAGTAACGACTTCCATTTCAACACATGCTTCTGTACCCCATAATTTACTACATGATGCTTCCACTTAATTTTACCAATCCTTCGACGATAACGATGTTCAAACATGTAGAGTCATACGATATCCTTGGATAGATGTCAGATATTACTGGTTTAGAGCAAAATATCTAAAGTTATTAGTTCAATAATTTGGACAACTCAGTGTTTGCCATTAAATTCTATTTCCATTTTTCGTGTTAAAGAATATTTTGCTGTTATTGTGAAATATTCATTTCAAAAGTGTATTCATGTACTCAGTTGTTGTATACATAACCATTCAGTCGCTTTAGTTCTCTATTCATTAAAAATCTGAAGTCGATGGTCAAGGTAGAACAGTAAAGGCCTAAATGCAGTCAGACTAGAAAACTGCACTAGTTTTGGGTTTTTAATTATTGATCCGAGTTCTACGAAGAGGACCATTAAATTCACAGTTGTTGTAAGACAATCAAAAACAGCTATAGTTAGATCAAAATCAAATATCTTCATAAATAATGTATTACATGATCAGTTCATGAAGTTCTGTAGTACAATGTCAGTCTCTGTCAAAATTTCAACGACTGTTGAACTTCTCTTGTTCACCAAACTCCTGTCATTAAACTTGCTATCTCTTCTACCCTGCACTATTTTCATCATTTGTAGGCGATTTCAGTCTCCAGATAGGATTTGAGCTAGTCAGAGAAGCAACTTCGTCACTCAAAGTCACAATACAGCAAATAACTGTTAAATATCACTCACTACAAGTGTTTTGACAGCTCTATATTTTTAGTGACCCTAGCTTCAGTTATTAAGTCGCATTACTTCAAAATTAGATTGTTACTAGTAGTGACAGACGGATCTTGTTATTACTCTGCCTCTATCATTTAAGTCACTAAGGGTAGAGTCTATTTTGAAAATATACCGTATTTAGTTTTATTTTTTCATCTACAATTGAATAGTTATCTTCACTAACAATCACCGTTACTCAGTTCATGTAATCATACCTCCTAATTTCTAGGTCCCAAGTCGTCGTCAAAGAAATGAATCTTCGTGTTCTGAGTTCAGTGATGTTGATGAAGAGGAACTCCTTAACTATCTTATTGTCATTGTCCCTGAGAGAGCAGGTGGTCGTGCTTCTGAGCAAAATGTAGTTACCACAAAGGGTCATACAGGGAAATCATCCCAATCATCAGATTCGCGGAGTGATAAAACAGATGTGGAGTCTTGTCTATTCAATGCTGCTTCATGTTTTAATTCATCTACTGATAAAACTCAAGTGTCACATGGTGGACATTCATCTTCAGAAAACAGTGCAGTTTCTTCCCGCTTATTAACCAGACACCCAGCTGGCGATCGTCACCCGAATCCAGATTATCAATCTCGGTAAATAACCTTAGTTGTTTATAGTCCTACGTATTTGTTGCATTTCCGGTAGTATTTTTTGAAATTATCTTTCGCAGTTCGAGTAAAATGTGTATGTGGATAGTGTCTTAGTCTTTTTAAACTACTTCATGTTATGGTCCCAAATAAGAATGTCGGTAAACTGAGTGTAAATACAGGTCAGCAATAGTTGCAGATGTGTAGCACTTCATATATTAGCCTCCAAAGATATCACCAGCCCGACAAACCTAGATAGGTACTGTTTTCACTTTATGCGTAGTAATAACAATAAGTTTGAAGTATTTAGACTTATTAGTATTTTTTTTAATTCCTAATTATTAGACTCATTTCAAAGTTCTGGTTTCATACATGATGTTCATCTTCATACAACCACTAGAAAGTCTAAGAACTCACCGACAGTTCGTTCGAAAGACCTGATTTGTGTGATATTTGAGAAATGTACTTTCCTAAAGATTCTTTTTTGTATAAGTGGTCATATGGTTCTGTTGGATGCGTGATGGTATATTGCTGTAGTCAAAAACTTGCTTTTTAGTGTTAATTTGCTGAGACTTAGTGTTTCCTTTTTATAGTGCTAAGATAAATGCAGATATACTGCAAAGAATTCGGCTTGGACTTGAAGATTATGAACAGAATGTCAGGCGCGAACGGTACACTTCTATTTGTGAACTAGGTTTCGAAGACGATGTTGGAGAAACTGATCTTTTAGATTTATCGAATAATTCATCCAGTCAATCGAGTAATCGTTTAGAAAAGGTATGCTAGCCAATATCAGTTGTATTCGTATATTTTTATTCATATAATAACTGATTTTGTTTTATCCACTCATTCATGTTGTTATTAATATCATGAATTTCTAAAGGCAGATTCCTGTCATTCTTTTCACTTCTCGAAGGACAGTTATAATGTCATACACAAGTTAATGCCACATTTTTTGGATCATAGTGAAGTTGATAAAATCTCGATGACAGTTATGTAAGAAAACGAGTCTTTCCTACCATAGCAATCAGTGCTGATAACAGAACTGCATGGATTTTTCTCCACTTGTACTGATCATTGCCTCGTCACTACAATATAGGGCTTGTTTTTATTCAAAAACGTATCTTCTTTCGCAATTTCATTACTTAGTGTTCACCCTATTCAGACTATCGTATTCCGAATAAAATCTGCGGAGAAATACTGGAAGAACCAAATTTTGTAACAGTTTTTTTTTCTAACATCATTTTAAACCTCTATTCACTATTTATGTCTATCAGCCCTTAAAAACTCGCTTAGAGGTAGCAATCACTCTATAAGTATACAAAATTCCTCAAGCCACCTCAATGTTACCATTTTGTGAGCTCACTCATTAATTAGTTCTACTGGCTAATGTACATTTATGGCTGAGTTGAAGGAGAAGTATAGTAAAGTTGCTCCGCTTATTCATTGGGTACGCAAACATTAAAAATCAGTACATTGAAGACAGGTTGTAGTTTTGTCTATGCGTCACGTGAAAATGTAGTAAATGGTCGTTGATTATCCTAAAGTGATAAAAATTACCAGTCAAACCCTGCAAATAAATGAAACTGATATCAAACCTATTGTGTACATGGCTTTGTTGAGTACTTCCGCAACGAAAAGCTATGACAACAACGGTTTGTTTTTAAGCCTTACTTGCAGACACTAAATATAGCCAGATTTTAGTTTTACGTAACATTCTGAAGCAGTTAATGATTGACAAACTCCATATCCATTTCTAAGTACATGAATTTCAGTGCGTATATATTTAAGGTTGTAACAGTATGTTAATTAAGTATTCTAGGTAGTTCTGCACTTCATTTAACCTTTTTTACTGGTTAAACATTACGAAACCAGTGTATACGAGTAAGTGTACAATGCTTCGAAAAATGATCCTTAGATTGTAAATATCCAGTTCATAGTTGTCTTGCAAATGTCCTAGAAGAATGTAATCGTTGGAGTCTGATTTGATCAGCTAACCAGTGAGATACATATTTTAATCCTTTTCTAAAATTCGAATACTCTGCCGAAGAAGCATACCCAACAAAACGTTTAAAGAGTTTTGCTTTGATTTGCTAAACACGTTGGGATTATATTGCAACCTGCTTAAGTGTTATTTTAGTCTACCGGTGCTTGGAATCTATGACTACACACAGTGTTCTCTATCATTTTCACTTCGTGCTAGCATCTGTATCTGATAACCCTAACTGAAAAATACTTTAGTCATATAATTCATTTTATTGTTAATTTGAGAAGTGTGCAGATTAATTGACTTCGATATCTTATTGATTCACACAGATCAACGTTGTTTCTCCAGAAGATTTTGCCAGTCTTAAAGAAGCTACTGCGTCTGGTTTAGCTGAGCGACCAACTTATGTTTCTCATGAAAATAATGATGGTACAGAAGAAACTCATTGTAACTCAGGACAGTCTGAAAAGGTTCAAAGCCAACCAGATTTAAACTCTTATCCAATATTTCCTTTCTTTTATCCAAATGTATTACCTCCCGAACCATCATCTCTAATCACTAGTTCGTTATGGATCCCATCATCTCTATACTCTGTTCTTCCGTTCTGCAACAATTCTTCTGAACTTTGGCAGTATCCGTACGACATGGTACCACTTACACCCAGTCAAGTCGAACAACAGTTAGAAGCAGAAAATGCAGTTGCAGCTCTTGTTGCTGAAGTTTCAAGAGCAGCTGTTGCGACAGCTCAAAATCAGAAATCCACAGTTGTTGATAAACCCAGGAATAAGCATGTAGCGCGGCGCCGCATGACTGGTTTTTATCCGGCCAAGGTAAAACCTACTGGTGCTCGTGAACGAGATGAACTAGATGTTGGTTTTGCTTTCGATATTTCCGCCCGACCCTCAGCGAATGCTTTAGACCAACAAGTTTACAGTCCTAATGTAAGTGCTGTTGGTGAGGATGGTCGTAATCGAGCTCTAAAAACATTCATATCTATGGCAAGGTATGTAAGGCTAGTTTTCCATTTTCCGACTTCTAACCTATGTGTTTTGTGGTAGCTTATAGTGATACCATTAGAATTACATCTAAAATTTATTTTTATTGGTAACAAAAGAACTATGCTTTGTCTTCATAACTCATAGTATCAGGTGTACACTACATCCCGAAGTATCTCCTGTTAGTCTCAATCTTCTCTATGATTTGTGCTGAAGAGTTATTTAAAATAATTTATTTGAAAATGTGTGCATTTATCAGTGTGATTTGTTGAGTTATATCACACCTAATACATTGATAAAAACTTAGTATCCCAGTTGGTTTTCTAAGTTCAACAGCTCTCAGTAGTTACTTAACCAACGAGCCACAGCTGTCTAACTTTAAATGTACTCTAACTCATAAAAAAAATTATGGACAGCTTTCGCTTTTCGTTTATGCTACACTAAAACAGTTCATTATCATTTCATGTGTTCCAATATTTCCAGGCGATTAGTTGTAAAGCTTGTCCCTTATAAGTGTATTGAGAAGCAGAAGCAATGTGAACAAGTATGACGTAACATCTTTTGTTAGTCCTATCTCACCTGTCACGTAATGATTTCATGGATAGAGAATAAGGTGAATATGTTTTACTGGTAGTCTTAAAGTTTTGTATCAGACAACTTCCCTTGGACCGGCGTTCATCTTCTAGAAGGAATATTCATATGGAACATGAGTCAAACTCAACACCTTTTTATTTCAGAAAAACTCGGTTAACATTTGACATATTGCTTACCTACTGCAGATGCTAAAGTATTGCCCCATGTCGATAGGTTTCGCAAGACTATAAGGTTATTTGAAATAGCCTACTTCGCAAACTGTTATATGTGCACCAGGATAATGATCAAGATTAAAATAAAACTTCATAGCAGCTGTTGCGACAGTTTAAAAGCAGTTATCAGAGATTTTTGACTAACAGACTCCGGGTTATCGACCTGTTTTTACCAATTCATCTACAGAGTTCATTCATATCAACTGATAAATACTAAGTACATCCTAAGCTGTACTTAAGTACTGTCATTTGACGGGTACTGGGTTCCCTCAACTATGTAATAACACATCCTGACATGGTAGGCGCTTTTCAAGACTACAATTTATGAATTTCAGTAACTGCCAAAATGTCTTCGTAACATTGCTCGCGTTTGGTTAAATCACCGTGTGAGCGATGTTCCGGTCAGGCGAGGGGTACCAGACAAGACAGGCAAGTCAACTGACGAGGTTGTGAACCTTAGTCAACTTAGATGGGTTGGACATGTACTGCACATCGTGAGCCACCGCGTACCTCGACGTGCCATGCTACGGGGAGTTAGATCAGGTTGGAAGAGAGTTCAGGGTGGCTAGACCAAGAACTGGCACCAACCCACAAAGTTCCTGACTGTTGGTATGAGTCGTGTGGGGAGATGTGGACTGGCTGGTTGGGTTCCTCGAGGTGACGGGAATCAGTGGTTGAGAACTTACTCTTGGCGATATGACTGGGAGTCGGTCACAGTGGCGCAGATGTATTCACTATTTGACATCTTCTAAAGCTTGAATATATGCACTATCCGTTTGCTTCAACTTGTTTATTATTTCACACAACTTTGTTTACATTGACATCACTCTTATTCTATCCACCTGTTCTCTGTGTTCTACTGTTAAGTGTGGGAACTTGAACTGACGCACTTGTGTGCGAGGTTCTATGCTGATTTTGTCAGGTCTTGTCTTATCATATTGCGTTCAAAATGTCACAGTTTTCTTTGTTACTGAATAGACATTGTCACTAAAGTAAAAGTCAGGTGCAAACTTCATTTTTACCTCTAAAAATGATACAGAAATTCAGTCTGCAGGATACCTTGAATATGAATTTATTAATATTTGGGATGCGTTTGTCACTACCCAAATGTGAATTATTGCTCTAGGAGTGGTCTTCGCTGGTGCCGTACCTAACAATAGGGAGTCAAGGGAATAAGCACGTAAACGAATTCAGTAAAAAAGTTAGATAAACTTTGGTAGGTCATTTACCGACAACATCTCTGCACGGAAGTTAGGCGTGATTGGCTTAAGCTGATTTATGGCCCACCTATGATATCCGATTGCCTGTTAAGGGTCGAGTGTACTGCGTCGCAGTTTTCCCTGTTCTGATTGAAACATGGCCCAGTTATGATAGAGGATATAAGAAGGCTTCAGGTGTTTGATCACCGTTTTTTTGGTATAATAGACCGTGTTATTGTTACCGTGTCAGTAATGTAGAAGTCAGGTGTAAAGCTTTAGAGAGGAGAGGAAAGTCAATTGATAAGGTTGTGAACCTTCACTGACCCAGATGCTTGGTGCATGTGTTATGCGCGTGCCTAGTTACCACTTGATTGTTGGTCTGTGTGGTGTAGGGAAATGCAGACTCCCAGGTTGGGGTCCATATGAGAACAGAAACCAGCGGTTAGAGATTATGTGACATGGCTCAATCAATGTCAGTGGTGTCGATGTGTCCACACACATCGGATTTTGTTGTATACTTTGCCACCTCTTCTTCTCTCTTGGTGACTTTCTGTTACTTCCATTATTTTCTTTATTTCTCTACCTTTCATCTTGTTGCCTTCTACTTGGATGTTTTGATGTAAAGTGTGGCAACTTACGCATGAATGTTGATTCTGATGGACTGAAAAATGTTGGACTGTAAAATAGACAGCATTTCTCTTTGCAAAAGGCTTGGAAAATGAGAATGACGTCCCTAAGTAGTCTCATTATAGTGCTTTCGAATTCAGTTGTTCGGAGGTTTGTAATGTTTCACATGCACCCAGTCATATATAATTCCTTAAATTTAGTTGTGCCTGATGGCTTTTCAAACAAATATCAATCTGATTTTCTGCGTATCTTGTAACTTATGAGACCTGGAAAACCTATTGAGTTGACGAAAGAAATGAACGAAAAATCCCAGTCTGATTTCTGCCGCAGTTTATTAAATGGTAGTTCTGCAAGTTTCTAACTGGGTTTTTTTATTCTGCAAATAAGATTCAAATTTCTGATAATATTCATGAAAACCGGTGGCCTCGGATCTCAGTTTCGAAAGTAGACTTTTAGCGTGATATGTTCAAAATTTAGTAACGCGTCTTAGGTGCATGCTAATTCTGCTAATATTCCGTTTGGTTGTATATTCATACCATAAATACGATGCCCACAGAATGACCAGCACCTACTTTTTCTCAATTAAAATTAAAAGATGACACTAATTGTAACCTCTTTAGCTCGAACAAACAACATTTACCATATTTTGATCGCAATAATAATCTCACATCTCCCTTATGTTATTAGTTTTTAATTGAGTTAGTCAGAATCTGATTTTCTTTATACATTTGATCTGCATTGTATTAAAGCAATAAGAAGACGTAGTTCATCTGGTACATGTGACGCCTTACCGCAATACATTTCAAGCAATCTGGTCACATACACACACTTATGCATGTTTATGCGAATTATAACAAAGAATAAATAGGCTTGAAAAGTAATCGATATTATATAGGATTGAAATGCTAGTTTAAACAGGGTGGGGGGGGGGAGGTATTATGTTGACCATCCTTGTTTTTGAATACATAATAGAAGTCTAAATTTCATAATATGTAGAGCTTCAACAAGTAATTTGCCTCCAATAGGTTTTGTGAATAATTTTGAAAAATGTATGCAGTGCAACTTTGTGATCCGTTTAGTGATATGTTTATGCATGGAGGATATTGGACACCTATTGCTTGGATCACTGGAATCATTCGATTGGGTTTGTTGTTGTAGACATTCCATGGTATGCCCTGTGGCTCTTATTTGCATAAATCGAGATGTCCTAACTGTGCATATGTGACCACAGGTACATGTTAATTTATAAATCCGGTTGGATGTGGCTTCGCTCAAATACTGCGAGGGCTTACTGGAGTACATAATTTTTATTCTCTTTGTAATAGTGAATGACTTTTACTGCATCCTATTTTCTGCGGATGACTTATTTAATTCTTTGTTTGATGTTCCAGTCTCTACGAATCGTACATATACGGAACCGAGTAGATCATGATTCCTATATTCTCTGCATTTCTATTACGATCAATAAATTTCAGTGAATACTTGTTGAATAATACTTCAATGAAGTTTTCCGTGTCCTCTTCTAAAGCATCATTTGTGCATATCTTTTGAATCCGGTCAGAAAATTGACCGTACCCGTTTATACTAAAGCAGATAGAAACTGTGGTAATTCAAGTACTGTCGTGTCCACACAAATTTCCTACAGATCGGTCTTGTTATTGAAGCATTTTTCTGGCGAATTATGAGAAACTGTAAGAATTGTCGGCAGTCATTTTTTTCTTTTTAATTTGATTGATCAGTTCACTAGTTAATTTTCCTAGAATTATATGGAACTTATTATTATACCATACATGAAGTCACGCTAACATTCTTTGTAATGATTTGATAAAGCACACTTTATTTTGTCTACAACTTTTTCCTTACTAGTGACGTTACTACATCTGGAACTACTGTGATCATCAGTACTACCACCACCCCTGCAGCTGATGATGAACTGGGTTTTACACAAAACGATCCAGTCAAAACTTCTCAACCACAATCGTCTACCTATAAACAAATCCACTCATCCGCCTTTGGAAATCACATGAGTCAGTCCTATCTTCGGGCCAGTGGTCTGGCATCCCGGGAATACTTCCGCTATCGTTCTTCTTGTCTACTGGATCGAGAGAAATCAGGTGCTGGACAGTCTCAGGAAATGAACACCATGTATAGGTTCTGGTCTTTCTTTTTACGAGACAATTTCTTCCATGGAATGTATAAAGAGTTCAAACGTTTAGCACTCGAAGATGAGGCGGCAGGTTATCGGTATGGGTTGGAATGTCTGTTTCGGTTTTATTCCTATGGCTTAGAACGTCGTTTCAAATGGTCCTTGTATAAAGACTTCCAGGTAATATTCTGCATTATTAAGTGTTTTCTTACGCAATTTTCGTTTCCTTAGCTCTACGTTCTAGCAACCTAAAACTGTAAGTAGGTTAAGTAGGATTCTAACCCATGCCTCTATTGTTCAAATTTGGGATTTTAAACCATATCCTCAGTTGTGACTTTTAGAATTCACTACACATATGGAGTCTTACTTTTTGACATAATACATCCACTACTTCATTTCTATTTGATCTAAAGGAGCAAGCTTTGCGAGATTATAAGAATGGACACCTATATGGTCTGGAGAAGTTCTGGGCCTTTTTGCACTACAGTGGGCGCAAAGTAGAAATCAATCCTGAACTGAAGGAGTTACTACAAAAGTACAAGACAATCGGGGACTTCCGTGTCAATGTAAGTTGTTTCCAGCATAATATTTTTAAGAGCTAGCTTTATAGCAACGTGACTCATTTGTTATAGCAAGCTTGTATTATGATGTTTTTTATCAGTAAATTTTATTAAGAATAAGAAAATATTCTTGTGTCATCGTTTCTGAGACAGACTTCTAATCACAGTTTTATGTCCTAGGTGTTCAGCCTTAATATGTGGGGGTTTGAAGTACTATCCTGTAACCCATGCGAAGTAAGTAGTGTGGCTTGAAACCTAGACTCGTTGCTTGAAACTCAAGCGTCTATGCCAATGGACAACACAAATTTCAATTACGAGCGAAATTTGGGTTACATGTGTAAATATCAACTATCTTTACATAAACAGTTGCTAAACAATTACTTTGTAAATACTGTTATTACCTAGTTATCCGGTAGATTAAATGAAAATGAAGCATGATTCTACCGGCCACGCACACAATTAGGGTACTGACATTTTTTCATGAACATCCCCGCCTCTCAACTTGAAATTAATAACTTGGGTCCCGGAATGGATTTTAGCATTCTGTCACAGAGGTGGGGTTGAGGGGTTAAATTAATGAACAATTAGTGCATGTCGCTTATGTATAGTTGCTTATTTGAATAAGTTTAATGTTTCAATCTATTTTCTAGTTTGAAGCCCCTGATGGGTTTTATGGTTACCGCAAAAGACTGCCTTCCACATCAGCTTCTGTGCCTTCAGACATATCTTCAAACCCCACCTCTCAAAATAATGTAGTTTCTAATGTTTGATTCTTGTTTAAAGTGTTACATTTTTCCTGTGTTCAGTCGCGTGTTGGTGTCGTACTCTTTACTCAATAGTTATTCGTCGAACGCTTCGCATGTCATCCTTTTTTATTATGAGTTTAGCACCGATAAAATGTCTCAAATGTCATAACCTAACTAAAATATCCTGATTTACTATTGATGCACTCTTACTTTATTGTTGTTCATCTTTTGGTGAGTGTCTACGCTTAGTCATCATGCTTCCATGTTTTATCGAACCATTCCTATCTAGTGCATTTTCTTATATACATGGTTCGTATCCTTTAAATTCTCTTCCAAAAAGTTTTGTTTCAAATTTTGTATACACACTTTTGCTAACTGATGTGATAATGTCATGCATACTTTGTTATAGAATTTTATTACGTCTTTAATTAATTGCAATGATAAAATGCAAATTTCAGCCATTCTTTTCTCATTGAACACAATGCACAAGTTTTTCAATCCTGACAGTTACTTTGGTTTGTGGGTCAGATGAATTTGTCTCTTAGCCGAGAAATGATATCGGTTGGTAGTGTAGCCACTAAACAATTTGTTAGTGGGATCTGGGAAAACTATCCTATATGTTACAGTCCCGTTTCAAAAAAAAGTGGATCCAACTGTTTTCATTATATTACTGTAATTTGATTATGTTGTTGATGAACGAGATATGGTGGGTTAATCACTTGTGGATAAAGAATGTTAGGTGCTTTTTTTTTGTCCTGTTAAAGTAACTTTTTCAAGTAACGCAATGATTTCCGCTGTATGACATCTCTTGAAATACCTCAATGTCATCAAAGAAGCTTGAGACATTCCATTCTACATCGATTTGTTTGGTGTACACCCATCTAATAAAACTACCATAGTACCCGAACTTCTTACTTACATTAGGCCTTCTGAAAAACCTACAGTTTTCGTTACTATATTCATTCTCTACTTGTAAAAAAGGATGTAGCTTGTGCAATATAAATGTGGTGACGGCTCTTAAAAATTTAGACATAATATGCCTAAGATTAAGCTGAAGTGTTGTATCTATGCATTTTTGGAAGGTTCTGCTTTACAGGTGTTTGTAATAGATGAGTTGTTCCCTACATCATTTTCATCATAACTGGTAACTGCTACCGCTTCGTAATGGAAAATGCATTGGAATAAAGTCTCAATTGATTATTACTTTAGAATTTGTTAATATATCTGTTGAGTGTTATGTCTAACGATTGCTATTACAGTTAACAGGTGAACAGGATTTCTGGTCGCACTCCGTAAATGTGTCATTCATACATCGAAATGCGTTCAGCAAATACGTGCTGTAGGCCATGAGTGAAACCTTTTTTTGTGCGAAACAGTGGCAATATTTGGTAACTTAAACGTCAGTGCGTGAAAAAAAGTATGATCCAATAACTACTATTTCATCTGCATAGTTCAGTTCGTGAACATAACTGAAGAAACAACAGTCGCTTTCTCATAACCTGCTTACAACCCAAAATAGATAGATATCAAGAGGATTTGTGCATACGTTTTGTAGTTAAATAAATTTAGAAAGAATCGACTTGATATCATACAGAGTATAGACATCCAGATAAAGTTAACAGGACATGCTAAGAAATTTCACCTACATATCCGATTCAAAAACCTCGCCTGGTTAACTAGTTCACTAGTTACTAGCCGGTCCTAAGCCCGTGTAAAGAGGGAAGGTTGGGCGTAGGGTTACCAACCCTACCCCGGAAAACAAATCCAACCGCTAAAGAAACTTCAAGGCACAAACGAAATTATGAGAAATAAAAACAAAATTATTCCTCGCTGGAATCGGAGAGGCAAAGTGACGCCAGTTGGTGAAAGCCTTCGGGAAGCCGATTGGCCGATGTATCTTCTCTCGATGAAAGCGAAAGTGAACGTGGGGACATGGAATGTCCGCACCATGTTTGAAGCTGGCTGGCAAGACTGCCCAGATTGCAAATGAGATGAGAAGGTATTGCATTGAAGTGCTAGGAATCTGCGAATGCAGATGGAATGGAAGTGGACTCTGCAAACTGTCAACTGGAGAGGAGTTGATAATCTACTCTGATATTGTCACCCAGATGACAGCCACGAGCACACTGAGTTTTCGAGTGACTATCATGATGTCTCCAAGAACATGGAAGGCTCTCATGCAGTGGGAACCAATCTCCTCCAGGATCATGACAGCAAGATTCAACTCAAAAGGAAGCAAAGTCACAATCGTTCAATGCTACACTACTCACCTACAAATAATGCAGACGAAGATAATCCTATGGAGGAATTCTATAGACAACTGCAATCAACACTGGATAAGACCTCAGTTGGCGACATCGAAATTGTAATGGGTGGGGTGACATGAATGCCAAACTGGGAGCGGACAACACAAGAAGCAGTCGGTGAGGTGATGAACAAGAGAATGGAGAATTGTTTGCAGAATTGTGTGCATTCAACGATTTGGTTGGTGATTGGAGGCAGTGTGTTCAAGCACAAGGATATCCACAAAGCGAGCGACATGGATTTCACCAGACAACAGGACACACTACACCAGAAATCAGATCGACTTCATCTCAATCTGAAGAAAGTGTAGAAGCAGCCAGCCTACTTGACACAAGGTGAAGAAGGGGAGCAGATGTAGGTTTGAACCACTGACTGTCTAGTGCAAGGAACCTTTCAAATCGAGTTGAAAGCCTTCAAGGAAGTTGGTGATAGACGACCACAGTTCAAGTTCAACACTACTTAGAACAGAAACTGAAGGACGAAACTACAAAGGACATCTTGATGTCAGCCATGAGAACAGAATGGGAGACATTGAGCAACATCTCTGAAGGATCGGGCGTGGAAGAACACTGGAACTGTGAAAGAGATGTGGAAAGAAGCCTGCATAACCGTATCAGGGAGGAGGAAGAAAGAAGATAAGGAATGGATCTCGACGGACACATGGAAGGTGATAGAGTAGGGAGAGGAGGATGATGAAGCAGAAGTTGAACCAGTGCAATGATGCACAACGAGAAGAGGAACTAACTGAGTACAATGTATAAAACACTGGACAAAGGAGTGAAGAAGAGTGCACGCAGAGACGAAAGACACTTCTACGACACATTGGTAAACGAAGCAGAACAGGCTGCTGATAGGAGAGACAGAGACCTGACAACATTATATCAAATGAGCAGGTTACTCTCGATCTGGGAAGAGATCAACGCAGATGAAACCAATGAAAGATAGTGAAAGGAAGCTAGTTAGCAAAGAGTAGAAACAAAGGAAGCGATGGGCTGACCACTTCAAGAAGCTCTTGAACCGACCACCACCTGCAGCCTCAGAACTACAAGTGAATGCAAATCCTCCAACAGAAGTCGAAGTCGTGAAAGCCATAAAGCTAGTGAGATGCGGGAAAGCAGCAGGACCAGATGGAAGTCCGCCAGAGACACTGAGAGCGGACGCAGGGATAACAGTGAACATGCTCACACCATTATTGCAGAAGGTCTGGAAGGAAGGAAGGGAAGGTACCTGCCGGTTGATTGGAAGAAGGGCTACCTTTTCAAACTGCCGAAGAAGGGAGACCTAAGCCTTTGCAAGAACTGGCGTGGAATCACGCTCCTGTCCACCCCAAGCAAAGTATCAAGCCGCATCATCCTGGAGAGACTAAAGGATGCACTGGATTCAAAACTACGACCGGAACAGGCTGGCTGGCTGGCTGGATTCAGGAAGAAGAAATCATGTGCGGATCAAATTGCAACGCTACACAACGCATCATCATAGAAGAGATTATAGGATGGCAGTCAACCCTCTACCTCAACTTCATCGACTTTGAGAAGGTCTTTGACAGCATCAACCGAGAGGTAATTTGCCAGGCAGTTGCTTCAACACTACGGAATACCACAAACCTTTATCAATTTCATTCAACAATTATATGAAGACGCCACATGCCAAGTAATTCACAATGGGAAGCTGAGTGACGCCTTTGAAGTGAAGACAGGAGTAAAACAAGGCTGTCTGTTGTCACCTATGATCTTCCCGATTGTGGTGGACTGGATCATGCAGCAAACAGTGAGGAGCGAGAAGAGGGGGAGACAATGGCTGGATAGGGGAAAAGAACCTAGAATATTTGGATTTCGCCAACGGTGATGATTTATGTCTAATGTCTTGTAGCATAAACTGGAAGATCTACAGGCGAAGACTAACAAGTTGTCAGAAGAGACAGAGCAGCGAAGACTGGACTTCCTTCAGGTGAACGTAGAGAAGACAGAGGTGATGAAGATACCCAACCAACAACAACAACAGCAGCATCATCAAGAAGCTGCAATCACCATCAACGGGAGAAACTTAAAGTAATTAGCCTCCTTCACCTATCTAGGTAGCATCGTTTCAACTAGAGGTGGCACAGGCACAGACGAGGATGTCGAGGCCATGATCGGAAAGACAGCAAGACAGGTATTTCTGCATTAATCTGAAACCAGTGTGGAGATCTACTGCACTCCACTTCACTCAGCATAAAGCGTGAACAAGATCCGGATTTTCAACACCAACGTCAAGTCAGTGCTTCTATGTGATGGTTGAGAGACTTGGCGCGTTACGAAAGGGATTTCCAACAAACTACAGACATTCATCAACAACTGCGTTCGCTGGCTCGTTACTGAAGATCAGATTATCAAAATAAGATAAGCAACAAGGAAGTCTGACTGGTGACGAACCAACGAAGCAAGAACCTATCACTGGACAAATATGCAGAAGAAGAAAGTGGATGTGGATTGGATTGAGCATACACTGAGAAGGCCGACTGGGGACATCACGCGTTAGGCCAGGCCCTCGAGTGGAAGATAGATGGGAAGCGACTAGTTGGGCGTCCCAGGTGAGGGTGATATGGAGGAGATCGTGTGAGGAGGAAATGAGAGGTTGTGGGCTGTCGTGGAGCCAGGTTCGAAAGTTTGCAAAGAAGAGAGTGCACTGGAGATGTGCTACTGAAGTGCTATGTTCCACTAGGAACCCAAGGGACAAATAAC